AGTTAAGAAGCTTGATGTAACAACAAGTTCTATGCTAACAGTTTCATCTCTCAAACGTTTCTCTTATTGCTATTCTAGCTTTATGTTTTCTAATCAGTATTGATCTTCAAATACTTAATTTCAGTGTCAATTGTCATATGTCTCCTTCAAACCTGTTTTTATTGTCCTCTCTCCTTAATATTGATTTTTCACAGATTCGTTCACTATCAGTTACCCCTTTCATCTTAGTGGCTTTATCGATTTCATTATGATGAAACAATAAGAAAAAGCCATTATCAATTAGTAAATAGTATGACTATCATTTTAATTTAATTTCGCAAATCGATATTCGGCGGCCATTATTAATATTATTTTGAAATTTATCATTGGATAAATTTAAACCTTGTTGATCGTTATAAATTTGAAACTCCTATTTTTTTCTTTTGTATCAAATACATTTGTCATAATGTATATGCATTCCACGTGAGGTTTGAGTTAAACTAGAATCATAATAGATGTTCAATGGATGAAGCATCTGAAAGAGTACAACCGTTTATCATGATAAACGAATATTCAATGGACACATAGCAAAAAAAGAAAAGATAACAGCTGGAGTAAAAGGCTGCTTTTTTATAACAAATTTCTATCATCAAGCTTGTGCTTACCAACTGTGTAAGGACAAATTTGATGATAGAAATTAGATAGTGATGTTTGTTGGTAAGATATGGCCGCATTAATTTCACTCTGTAAGTATTTGGAAAATACGTTTTCTGACAGTGTAAGTGTAATGTATGATGATGAAATTTTAATTTTCTTGCAATTACCAATATGCATTGCTAAAAGGATTTTTCGCAATATTAAAAATACATCTGAAGAAACTGATATGATTTCTTTTTATACAAAGTATTTCTGGTATAAAAACCTATTTTTATACTTTTATAATGCTTTTTTACCTCAGTTCGGGGTTTAACTATTTGCCCATAGCTGGGACCCTAACAGCTACTACTACCACCGCGGGTCAGGGTGAACCTGGGAACACCAGCAATTGAGAAGGTGGTTCCACGCTCCTCAAAACCTCCTGATCAGAGGCCTTGCTGTTGGACGTAATTTATCATCTTACCCAGGACGCGGATGTAGTTTATCGTCATACCCAGAACGGCACTTGAGGTTTGTGTTGAACTAGAATCATGATAGACGTTCAAAGGATGTAGCCTCCGAAAGAGTACAACCGTTTATGATGATAAGCAAAAATTCAATGGGCATATAACAAAAAGAAAAGATAACAGCTGGAGTAAAAGGCTGCTTTTTTATAACAAATTTCTATCTTCAAGCTTCTGCTTACCAATTGGGTAAGGACAAATTTGATGATAAAAATTAGATAGTGATGTTTGTTGGTAAGATATGACCGCATTAATTTCATTCTGGAAGTATCAGGTCATCCCATAAGTTCTGTCCGAATTTTGAATAAAGAAAACAAGTGACCAAATGTTACATTTAATTACAGATTCAATCAACAATGTATTTTCCCTGATTATCTATGACTTCCTTCCATCTATTAACAAGCTTACTAATTCCATTATTGTAAAATTATTTTGGCTTTGATTCGAAGAACTCACAAATGTCAGTTTTAACCTCTTCCTGTGTTACAAAAGCTGTGTCTTCCAAATGATTCTGTAAGCTACGAAACAAATGGTAGTCTGAAGAGCAAGATCGGGAGAATAAGGTGTATGAGGAATTTTCTCCCAACCAAGTTCTTCGATCTTTTGTGACGTGATTCTTGCTATGTGGGGTCGCGCATTGTCCTGATGAAACATCATCTCTTTTCGATTCACTAGTCCTGGTCTTTTTTTCTAATTGCTGACAGTATATTTGAGCATTAATTGTTGCATTAGGTGGTAAGAATTCAAAGTGGAATATTCCTTGGCGATCCCACCAGATTGAAAGAAGAACCGTTTGCCCATGAAGTTCGCTTCTCGGCTTTGGCTGGGGTCCTTCCCCTTTACCAAGCCACTGTCTACGACGCTTAACATTTCGATAAAAGATCCATTTTTCGTCGCCAGTCACAAGTCTATCCAAAAAAGGTGAAACAAGTTGGCGAGAATGGAGAGAAGAGCAGATGTCAACTCGGGATTTGAGGTTGTTTTCATGAGGCACCCATTTTCCAAGTTTAGGAACTTTTCCAAGTTGTTGAAGATGACGATGAACAGTTGTATGGTTTGAACTGAGAACCACTGCCAATTCCTCAACTGATAAAGCAGGATTTTCTTCAAAGGCTGCTTCAAGAAGCTTTTCATGAAACTCAACTGGACGTCCGGTTCGATTTTCATCTTCAAGGGTGAAATCTCCACCTCTGAATTTTGCAAACCATCTTCTGCAAGTTCTTTCATTCACACATTCCTCTCCATAAACTGAGTGAATGTTTCTAACCGCTTCAGCTGCTGAGTTTCCTTTCTTGAACTCATAAAGCATTATGTGCCTCAAATGATTCTTGGGTACTTGCATGTTAGCAGGGTTTTTATCAAACAAAATTTAATTTTATTGTTTTCTGAAATAAAATTTGATCAGTTTAAATGCATCTAAACATAAAAATAATGTTCAGCTCCATTAGACATTGTAAAATACTCTTTAAATTTCGTTCATTTTAACAAAAAGTTAAAATTCGGACAGAACTTATGGGATGACCTGATATTTGGAAAATACATTTTCTAACAGTGTATGTGTAATGTATGATGATGATATTTTAATTTACTTGCAGTTACCAATATGCATAACGACATATTGTTATTCTACGGTCATTATTATTATTATTATTACTTTGAATTTTATGACTTGATGCATCATTAGCTATCATTATAAGTTATTAACTATTATTTCTCTTTTGATTTTAGCCGCTTTTATCGCCACTAATAATACTGATTTCTACTGAATAATAGATCTATTTCGATGCTATCCAAAATAACTCTATCTTCAGACATAAAAAAATCATTATTAAATATCTACTATCAGTAAACGATATGGACATAAATTATGTATGAATTAGAAATGAAAAGATGTGCAATTCTTTCAGTAGAAGAAGTACAATTAACTTAGTATAGAACGTTGTTTCAGTTGTTTATGTGAAATGTCACATGTTATCGTATATTCTATGACAATAACTACAGAACTGGGGAAAATAATTGATTGCCTTTCGATATCTTCACACTTGCTATTATAATCAAGATCAGTGTTATATTTTACTGAAACACGATGCATTACCATTAATAGCAGGGTTGCTACTAGTGTAAGGAAAAAATTACCTGTTCATGGAAAACCTAAAGTAATCAAAATGTCTCCTATATTCTTTTACGATCGAAAGCGAAAGATGTGTTCTTGAAATTAAGCAAAGTATTAAGAGACATAAAAATGTCTTTAGTCCCAAAGTATAATGAAGTAACCTTGTACCGATTAAGGAAAACACGAAACTTTTATTTCACTCCACGTTTCGTCATTTAATGTCGGCCAGTGCGTGCGTGAGTATGTGTGTGTGTGTGTGTGTGTGTGTGTGTGTGTGTGTGAATGCGTGTGTGATCGCGTGCGCGCGAAATCGGGATTCACATTCGAAACAGTGACCGTACATTTGTGCGTTCGGCGATGCCTTCGAAACTACCATCTCTTCTCTGAGGTGACTCTTTATATATCTACCTGTAATGTGTTTCTTCCCACACGCTTTCAGCACAGGCACAGCCGGGCCTACATGTATCCAACTGTCGGGGTCCACCACAGACGTTGTGAAAAATCACGTATCTCTACCTCCAGCTAGGACGTTATCTCAGGTGAACCTTGCTCCAATTGGTCAGAGAAAAACAGTGAATGCAAAGTCTATTCAGCATGATCTGTGGTGATAACCATATTGCAAAAATAAAGTATCAATCCTCCAATATGACACTGAATTCTTGGAAATCTTCTCACAGATGAGAAAGACGTAGATGTAGACAAATTTTGCGAATAACATTGGCAGAACATGTAGCAAGTTTAGTGAAAAATTAGGAATAACAGGGAAACGTATATAAAAATCCAAAAGAGGTAGTTCAAATTTTAAGGACAGATAATGGGGAAAGAAGGTTTGAAAAATTTAATACTAACACGTGATAGTGAAAGTAAGAGAAAAAGAATAAAATAATCAGTGTCCTATTTGTGCAAATTGAAAGCAAAAAAACAAAACAAACAAACAAACAAAAAAAAAAAAACAAAAAAAAAAACAAAGAGATTAAATGGTCACAAAGTATTTAAAGGAATAAAAAAAATGAAACTGTGGCGAGCCATTATCGCATATATCCTGAAGTGGCATGACACATAAAAGAAAAAAAAAATGAGAAGAAGAGTTATCTGCCAAAACATCATCATCACCATTCCCTCGATTCTTTTCAATCGTCGGTGTCTGTGTGTGAGGATCCGGTTGAGGGGGGTTACCGGTTGGGGGTACCGGTTGGGGGGTACCGGTTGGGGGGTGCCGGTTGGAGGGGGTCTGAAGAAAAGGAAACTGTAGGCAGAGAAAGCCGACCTTGATTCTTATTTCTCATGATCCTTCCAGAAGCCTTTTAGATAGCTTGGCGGCGCCCATATCCTCTCCAAGCTCTTGACCGACTGCTGCAGACCAATGGAATATGGTATGGTATGGGTATCCCATGGTTCGTACACGAGGCCTTCAATTATTGAATTTAGAGTTGTTTTTCTCTTAGACTAGTTGCCACCCAAGGCTATAGGACCTAGTTTGTCCTGCTATTTACCACTATCTGGAGGGGAAGAGGAGATGGACTCAGACCGTTCTAAAGCTAAGTCACGTAAAGTAAGGCACGTAAGTGAATATAATGGACTCGACTGGAATTCGAACTCTGCTGTCCCGATTTTTCAATCCGCCCTGCCATCGATTACACCATCGTATGAACACCGTATTGCTATTACTTCATCACGATCATTTCCAGGGATACCGTTACCCTGAGAGTTTACATATATTTATATGAATAGTATAAAATGATCAAGGAATGAACAAGAAGATAAATTCCCTATCAATATCTGTTACGGTTCCCGAAGTTTTTCCTTTGGTAAAAACAATTCTGAGAATCCAGTGAATGAAGAATGCATTTATTTCCGAATCTACAAAAAACCGTGAAACACCTAAAAAAAAACAAAGCAAAAAAAAAAAAAAAAAACAAACAAAAAGAAACAAAGAAAAAAAAAAGGATCCACATTGCATATGCTAATGCAAAAAAAAAAAAGGGTTCCGAATAGCATTCGTCCTGGGTATGACGATAAACTACATCCGGCATCAAGGCCTCAGTTTAGGAGGGTTTTTTTCAGGAGCGTGGAACCATCTCTTAATTGCTGTTGTTCTCAGACGACCCACACTGCTAGGGTCCCAGTTATGGGAAAATATTTAACCCTCAAACTGGAGTCAAAGCACTATGGAAGTATAAAATAGATTTTTATAGTAACAATATAAGTAACAATATAAGTAACAATATAAGTGATATATTTCAAAAAAATACCAGCAATACATTTTTGGAAAAACAAATATTACCAGGAATATATCTATATTTGACTCACAACAAAAACCCTCTTTAGAGAAATACACGAATGAAACCTGATCAACAAATTGATTTCTTACAAAGAATGCATATTCTATTTATACGAACCCATCCTTAACATCTTCTCGGCATTAAATAACCCATTGAGGTGTTGATATACCGTAAAACAAAATAAACCAAACCATAAAAGAATATCATCTGTATTCAAAGGTGACCGATGTGTTCCAACCGACCTTATGTGCCATCTAACTAGAATTCGAGAGTAGGTACAAGTCCCGTCCAACGTCTTTCCTAAGCAAGGGTACTGCCACTGTGGTTTTGTTTTTCTCTCCAAAATGTGGCGGTTACCACGTGACCTGTGCAGATTGAATTATGAGATCCCTATCAATAATTAACCACGTTGCACCAGTCCCAAGACAGGTACACTATCTTTTACCAATAAGAAAAGAAAAGAACATTAAATTGTTGTTGTTTTTTTTTAATTTTTTTATCGAAAATAGAATAATAATTTGGACACACGCACACACACACACACACACACGCACGCGCACACACACACACACACACACACGCAAATCAGTGAAATTTCTTTCTGAATGAGACGAAGGTTCTTCAGGTGTCTCTCAATTCAAATAACTTTCAGGAAGTTACAAACTGAATCTTTTATTCAATCTCCGGCAGTAGGTTGTTTGCGTTTCCATGTCCATGACTTGGGATATCTCGTTCACTTTTCAGTACTGATCTCTTTCAGCTGCCTAGGGATCAATTACTATTATAATTACTGAAGAAGTTCAGAAGCCTCCATGGTCGAAACATTGTGGTAATAACAACAAAGATGAGGACATTTGTCAATAACAATGAAATTCATTCAGCAAAATCCGATTATCCACTACATTTCTATTTTACTTCATCGCTGCTATAAATGAATGATCTTTGGTTCATACATGAAGAATCAAAATATAAGATCGAATCTTATCACTGTACAGACGTTATGTCGATTTTATAGACGGTTTTATTAATATTTATATTTTTTACATAGAAAAGTACAAGTTATAGGAAATCCAACAGAATTAAAATGAGTTTTTTAGCAATTTTATTCTCTTATTCTATTTGATTTTTAGCTTTTCTATTTAATTGCTTTTGTATTATTTCTTCTCTGCCATCTGAAAATCTCCTGAGTCACGGAAACTATTTCGAGTCGTTGGTGTCCGAAAGAAATGAAATATTATTTTCGGACACTACGTTACTCTTCAATCAAATAAAGTAACGTTCTGCTCAATATAAACACAGATTCTATCTCTTCCACTACTAGTGACATCACCATATTACTATATAACCCCGGCTCTTATTCTTGTAGCCATTTCAATATTCAACTCCGATTTCTTTCTTTCTTTCTTTCTTTCTTTCTTTCTTTCTTTCTTTCTTTCTTTCTTTCTTTCTTTCTTTTTCACAAACACTGTCACACAATAAATAGACGAATAATTATAAAGTAAAAATGAACATAATTGTATATATCGATAAATTGCATAAAAAAACCCTAAAAAGAACTGACTTGTGATCTGTACCCTACAAAAACAGAGAAGACAGGAAAATAAATTATGGCGACGATAAAAATGAGGATGTCAGAAGAAAAGTTACGCAAACAATGACTATATATTCAAGGGAAGTGCGTGGAAAAAATTGTCGGCTTAACCAAAAAGACTATACAAAACCTTCTTCATTGTAGTTTTTTTGTTCTAATTTTGAGAAGTAATTTGAGGCTATAACTCCCCAGCCTCGCATATCTATCTATCTATCTATCTATCTATCTATCTATCTAATAATAATAATTAACCCTGCGTTAGTCACCTCGGATGTCGGAAAATGGAAAATGCCTCCCACGACAACTGAGCTATAACTGCATCACATTGCGTGTTACACACCCTCACTGAGTCAGGAGAATAGGAGGGAAGCAAAGAAACAATTTGCTGACAAGGAATTAAACGTACTTAAAACAAAAAACAATGGGACTAACGCGAGTTTAATCATCTTTCTTGCCATATTTATCACAAAGTTTCGGCCTTTGTACGCTCCGGCCTTCTTCAAGTGGTTGGAATGTCAAACTGAATCCTTTATTCCGCTCGCTGGGGTAGACTGTTCTAGTTTCAAGTGCCGTTCTAGTTCTTTAAGGACACATGGCACAGTGGATAAAGGCGTTGGTTAGATCCAGCGACAGGACCCAAAGACTGTGAGAACTTGAAGACAGTAATTAACAGGAGATAACTGATCACTGACATCCGTTAGACATGGCACGTGGAACATATTTATCGCGTTGTGATAAATATGGCAACAAAGATGAGGATCATAGTCCGAGCAATGTAAATAGTGTACACAATACCTCATCTCAGAAACAGAGTGATACGCGAGTTTAAATATTAACTTATTTTATCCCAACGCAGATCTTCGCTGAGATTACATTCAATCTTCAGGGAACTTGATTGTAATATTGAATTTTATCTTTAAATTTTAAACAATTCAATAATACAATCAACTCCCCTGAGTAACAGGAATTCTCCTCGCTACACTAACCAGAGATAAGATAGTGAACATTGCTAGGTATTGAGCACTCGAAGTAAAAAGGATTCTTCCCTAAAAGATATTATCTTCCAGAAATAAACTGGTAGACAGCCTTATTTTTGCGAAAGATAAACTTTGTTCACTATTTACATTATTCGGACTATTGTCCTCACTTTTGTCGCCATATTTCTTACAACGTTTCGGCCGTTGTACGCTCCGGCCTTCTTCAGGTGGTTGAAATGTCGAACTGAACCCTTTTTTCGCTCACTGGGGTAGACTGTTCTAGTTCCACCTGTCAGGTATAATGGATGTCATTCATCAGTTATCTCCTGTTAATTACCCTCTCCAAGTTCTCCACTGCTTTAACCAGGTATTGAACTCACGCACTTTGGGTCCTGTCACTGGCTCTAACTAACGCCTTTATCCACTGTCCTTAAGGAACTAGAACGGCACGTGGTACTAGAACAGTCAACCTAAGCGAGCGAAAGAAAGGGTTCAGTTTGACATTTCAACCACCTGAAGAAGGCCGGATTGTACAACGGCCGGAACGTTGTAATAAATATGGCGAAAAAGATGAGGACAATAGTCCGAATAATGTAAATAGTGTACATAATATCTCATCTCAGAAATATAGACAGATACTGGACAATCTTTGTTAGTGCTATACTTCTCACTCTCATTCTCTCTCTCTCATTCTCTCTTTCTCTTATTCTCTCTCTCTCTCTCTCTCTCTCTCTCTCTCTCTTACCCTTTCATTCTCTATAATTTTAAATCTTTCAAGGCCGAAAGTATGGTTAATGATGATATGCCTTCTAATGGTGGCGTTTTCTTCTTTCGGTTTTATTACCATTATGTCGATGATGATAGTCACTGAAGATACCGAATGGCTGTTTGAACATCTATGGGATGATGATGATAGAGCAGAAGCCGTCTTCACAAGGTTTTATACGATGTTGTTGCGAAACATAAAAAAGACACTTCGATGAACAGAATATGAATAGAAACAAAATAACTTGATCTTAATGTCTTTATTCAGATTTTAAAAAATGATTTTATTTTAATGTCTCGAAACATATTTCTGATTCAAAGTGAAAGAGAAAGAGAGAGAGAGAGAGAGAGAGAGAGAGAGAGAGAAGCAAGATTTTTTAAAATGTCTTAACTAAGACAAAATCAATGGCGACTACGAAATTTGTCGTTTTGAAATGTGTACAATAGATAGTTTAAAATGCCAAATCTTGCACTAATAATTTTTCTTTTTACTACTCATTTCGTAAAAAAACACCATACTTAGTTACCTCCCCTTCACGGTTTCAGCTCTCACGCACAGAGGCAGCTTTTCTTACTCCACTTGTAAGAAATTTAGCTTTCAGTTGAGAAGAAGTGTGGGTTTGTAAACAGTGACCATTACGGCTAATAATACAAGACTCTTCGGTAAATCAAATCGAGTTCTCCCAATCACTGTGTGTTTATCTAAAAATAAATACGCTTAAATTCACCTTTATCCCTACCGTGCGCCAACGGCTTAGTGGTAGAATCTCCAACTGACGCCCATTCAGTCAGGTTTCAATCCTAGCTAGAGGCAACCGTACGTCTAGCCACACTGTTGAGCTGTGGATGACAGTATATATGAAAAATTTATTTCAGTAGAGCTCTCTGGAAGGAAGTGTGGGTTTGTAAACAGTGCCTATTACGGCTAATAATGCAAGACTCTTCAATAATTCGAATCGAGTTCTCTCAAACTGATGAACTCTGATACAACAAAACAATCTGTCTGTGGATGACTATATATATATATATATATATATATATATATATATATATATATATATATATATATATATATGAGAGAAGGGGAAGGAAAGTTTTTCTTAAATGCTTTAACTAATAAAAAAAAATAACGGCGACTATGAAATTTGTTTATGCTAGAAACATTTATATAGTGTCCTTATCATCCTGATGTCATTGAAGCTATCGTTATAAAAAAAAATCAACTTCGAGAGAGTACACATCTGGTGCAAATGGATGAAACTGACCTACCAAAGCAAATCTTTTATTCCCAACTCAAAGAAGTCAATCGGAAAAGACGGGGGTCAAAAGAAGAGATTCAAGGACGTTCTAATATAAAACATGAAAAAGTGTAACATCGATAACAACAGCTAGGAATCCAGTGCCACTGACAGGAATCTCTGCAGATTCCTTGTCAGAGACGGAACACCAATCTTCGAATCCAAGCGGAGATAGAGGGAAAAAGAAAACTGTCGAAACGAAAGACAACAACAAGCAAGGCCTAATCCGCCTTCCAGAAGAATCTGTCCTCAATGTTGAAGGACCTTTGAAAGTTAAAATCAGTCTCAGTCATCGAAGTATATACAAACTCAGCTGATTGAGCCAAACAAATCAAAACCATCATCCTCGACCTCGAGCAATAGCCAGGTTGATATCGTAGTTGGTCAAGTGAAGTCAATTATCTATATTTAGTTGATTCTTCACAGTAATTATCTTGAAACAGCCAACTTGTTTTTCTACAATTTCTCTTGTTTATGACTTTGTGAGATAAGTATGCGCGATTTTCTTCACTTACATAAGGGAGAAGCAGTTTTTTTTTTCGTTTTTGTCTATCTAGCCAAAATTAATGAGTGAAGAAAAATGTCCGTTCTCTATGGTCTTGTTTTTTTTAAACCTAAATTACTCCCAATTGGAGCTCCGATAGCAACTCAAAGTAAATAGAGTCAAAATGCTAATAGAAAATGAGATGCATAATATGGATGCAACAGAAGTAGAAAGATTGATTAACTTTTCATGATTTAACTTTTCAGGTATGCCCCCATACTGGAATCTGTTCCACAAAGTAGGAAGAAACTATTCGAGTGGAACATTTTACATTTTTGATATTGGTGAAATGAGTGTGATTGCAATCGATGAAAGTAAAGCAGCTTGTCTTAGCTGTAATGGTCTAAATTAGAGAGGCTAAGGAATAAAGCTCGTCTGAACATCTGATATAAAAATGACGATAGATTAGTAACAGGCTTTAAACGTTATATCTGTTGGAAAGAAATTACATAGTGGAAAATAAGTTTTCAACCACAAGACCGCGTAAACGAGTTTTAACACTATCAACGCAGGTCAGTGAGAACTGAGCAACGCCAGCCCAGATATATTTATTAGCAATGCCCCATTTTCTTTTTTCTAATCTGAATGAGACAGAAGAATTTCTTTGGTAACACGGAGTATTGAACTGCTACGTGACATCTGTCCTCCTTTACGGCAGCGAATGTTGGACGGTCTCCTCAAAGGTAAAGAAGAGACTCGAAGCGGTGAAAGTATGGTTCTACAGAAGGATTCTAAGGATGTCATGAACTGAGCGTGTGAGCAACGATGAGGTTTTGGGGAGAATGCAAACAAGGAGGAAGCTTATATTTAATGTCAGGAAGGGGCAGCCGAAATTTCTATGACACGTAATGAGAAAGAACGGCTTGAAGAATCTGATACTCACAAGTCGAATAGAGGGAAAATGAGACAAGAGAAAGCAACCCATGACATAACTAACGGGCTTAAGCAAGTGGATGACTAAATAAGGCTTGGGGGAAGTAGAAAAGGGACAAAACTTATTGAGATCTACAAGGGAGAGGGAGAAAAGGAGAGCCATGATCGCCTACGTCCAGAAGGGAAACGGAACATAAAAAGAAAAGAAGACTCTGATTCTTGTAAAGATGTGAAAATTATTCAAGTACTTTCTGAATCTATTGCATGAACTGAAAGCCTTTTAACTATGAGTTGTATAGATAAGATCCACGAAGTCTTGAATAAAGTTGAGACGCAGTAAACGTTCAAATCATTTAGACACAATGAGAGTGAAAACGTTCATTTAAATGGGGAAAAATCACAGACTAATCAGTGAATGAAACGATATTAGTTTGTTTTTGAGTTATGTAAAGTTACGAGTCAGATATTTGAGCTGTTAGAGCCAGATCATAAGTGAGATCAGTTGTGATCAACTTGTGCTTTCGAAAACAGTTATATCATTTGTATAGATGTTTACCAATAATCTTTAATAGACTTTTCCTACGTACACCATTAATGGAAAGGATAAAGAGAGCATTACCGAAGCAAGAACTAGAATTGATCTCTTGAACTTCGGAAGACTGGGCATTTATAACAACATTTTTTTTAGATGACCGTTCTTCAAGTCAGAAAGAATTTGATGATTGCATAAACATTCCCAGAAATGCTAAAGTCTTTTGTAAGAACTCCCAATGGCACACATTTTCAAAAGCCTTTGAGATATCTATGACACTGCTTCTAGTAACAAAGCTACCAATTCTCGCCTCACTTATTTCATGGGATATGGTAATTAAAAAACCAACGGTTGATCGCCAAGAACGATATCCGTAATGTTTGTCATTCAGAATGTTATTTTAGATGACACACTAGCGCCAAAGTGCTGAGAGTTGAAATAGACACGCTAGGTCTTTCTTTCTTTCTTTCTTTCTTTCTTTCATTCTTTCTTTCTTTCTTTCTTTTTTTCTTTCTTTTTTAAAAATGAATTATTAATGATTTTCTCTGTGCGTATTTAAATGTGACATAATGAAGCTTATTTTGCATCTTTCCAATTATAGTCCCATTATGCCCCACTTGAATACACACGGAGACGTTCGAACGTCTGTCCGTAAAATCGTTATGAAAAATATGAACATAATAGACTCATCCACATGCAAAAAGTTTTTTACAAATAATGGAAGCCGTAATGATAAAAAGGAACCCAACTCTCAGTCATATAAAAATGCTGACCATAGGCTGAAATAAAAACATGGACAACCCTATAGGTATACGGTTGTATGTATATATATATACATACAACCCTATGCTAAATGCATACAAAACAGTAGGCACGGTGGAGTAATGGATAACGGCTCGAACTGAGGAATCGGAGAGCTGAGTTCGAATTCCAGTGGAACCAATTGCATTTACTTACGTGTTAATACCCTTTGTAAAGGTATGAAGCCTCTTCTTCTCCGCTAATAGGTCAACAACAGGACAAACTGATTTAGGATAAGGACAACTCTGAATTCAAACCCCAGGTTGGGGTTGTGCTACCTACTCACTTAAGAGACAACTATCTCTTGCAGTCCTATGTTTCTTAGAAATTTAAAGGCATTATATATATATATATATATATATATATATATATATATATATATATATATATATATATATATATATAAATGCCTTTATATATTCTGGTTTATGTGTATATATATATATATGTATCATAATTCATAGAATCTAGAAGAAACCTCAACAGAATGCAGAAAGCACTGGACGTTCGTTTCGTCCTATATTCTACCGAGAATTGAAACCCGAACAGTTACAATATGAGACAAACACTGTACCAACGGTTTCAGTGACGAACATGTAAAGAAATAGACTCGATATAGCGCCGCTCGATTACAAATTCCGTGGTCGAACTTCTCCGAATTTCTTTTATCCATAGGATTGTGCCTCCCCAAGCTACGACGACATTTATATATATATATATATATATATATATATATATATATATATTATGCCATTATATATATATATATATATATATATATATATATACAAAACACTCCTACATATTCAGTTAAATAACAAAAGACATCATTGATAATGGCTAATATATTAAATGAAGCCGAGCGAATCCACAGATCATTAAGACAGTTTTCGAACAGTCTATATCCAGAAATTGTAAATATCAAACAAGTACGAAACTTAATCGGGAAAGTGTTTAAAAAAGAACGGGAATTGTGACGCTGAAATCTAATGGCGGATAGCGAAAGATGTGGCACAAAAGTAAAGCAGAGTGTTAGGAAGCAGAAAAAATAAACATTCGTTAAAAACAAAGAAAACATTAATGAACTTTTACGTGATCTTCTCAAAAATGAAGAAGAGGCTTGAAGTAACAGAAATGTTGTTCTACAGGAGGATGCTGAGCTAGTGCAGTTAATGAGGAAAGAGTGATTGCAAAATTTGATACTCACAGGACTAACTGGAAGCAAGAGGTCCAGAGGAAAACACTACATAAAACAGTGAAATTGAGTAAATGAATGGCGGACTAAGGTTTAGGGGAATTAAGAAAAAGACAAAATTTATTAAGAGCTCTGAAGAAAAGGAGATTATAGAGAGCCATGATCGCCTGCGGAAACATTTTATAAAAATTATATATGGGAGGTTCCAGTTTAAGTTTAATCTCACTCTTCATTGGCTGAAGATTGCGTTTAAGCATGAAACAGACTATCACTGCTTGGTATTGACTTTAATGTCCAGTTTCATATTTACATAGCCTCTATATTTGATATTGGGCATTTTAACCCCCAAATAAAGCATATCTTAAGACCATTGTTATCACACACACACACACACACACACATATGTGTGTGTGTATGTGTGTATGTACATTATATGTACATCATATAACAAGGTCTCTTTAATTTATATTGTATATTTCTGACATTGTCACGATATCATATGGGGTTAGATATGTGGCTGGACAGAGTATATTGGCAAAACTGTCACTATTCCGTATTAGGCTACGTCAGTTGTTTCTCTAGATCCACTGCTATTTTCTAGTCAATATGAACGCTATATATCACTTATCGAGAATCAAATCAGTTGTTTTTTTCACATATTTTGCCCATTAAGGAAATGTTGCCGATTACCTGTCAGTGATGGAAAGGGAGAAGTGACTGAATCCTAGGAATTTTATACTCACTTCTAGGCGAAAATTATCACTGAAAATTTGTGGCGAATTTCTGATTTCCTAAATCGAGGGCCAATAAGACAGGCAAACCCTCAACGCATTGCTTTCTCCCTTTTTTACTGGACATATTGAAGTATAGTTGAATCCATTAAAATGCATAAAATTGTGAGTATATATATGCGGTTACGTATATGAGAATGAAAAAAGAGAGATGTCTCTGCAAATCATCAAAAAATTTCGCAAATCCCTGCTCCTGTATATCTCTTTCCCATACACCAACTGATTCTATCAAAACTAACTAAATATTATAGAATGACTTCAATGAATATGTTTCTGGAAATACTACATGAATATAAACCTGTCAACGGTATGCTATTTCCTTAAATTATAACAATATTCTTATCAATATATATATATATATATATATATATATATATATATATATATATATATATAATCCAATCAAAGAAATAATGCAGTTAAAACGCATGCAATGAGAAACATATTATTGTGGATAATGAAGAATAAAGAACAGGAATTAATAAAACACGATTACGATTGACATTGCATTTCATTTTTTTTAAAGATCAAAGTTGACTGGAAAGTAAGAAACCGGAAAAAAATTCAACAAGGCGATAAGTATGATCTATTGAGATCATGCACGCTCCGGCCTTCTTCAGGTGGTTGGAATGAACCTTTTATTTCGCTCACTGGGGTAGACTGTTCTGGTTCCACATGCCATGTTTAATGGATATCAGCTATCAGTTATCTGACTGATAATTTCCCTCTGAAAGTTTTATCCACTGCGCATTGTGTATGAATTTGTGGGTATTATAAACCTAATGTCTTCAGCATCATTTTTTTTACCAGTGCTCATATTGCAATTTTTTTCTGTTATCATTCCATGTTTTTACCAGAGCTTATATTGCAATTTTTGTTGTTGAGATAAAGATGTAGAAGGAAAGACCACGTAATCTAACATTTCTGCAATTATCGTCTATATCACCATAGCACGTATCGGTATCGGAATGTTTATGTATTGTAATTAGATATAGTGAACAAAAAGATATATATATATATATATATATATATATATATATATATATATATATATATATATGTATGTATGTATGTGTGTGTGTGCACGTGTGATATATACGTATAAAACGGTAAGCTCCACGCAGATAATTTTTGGGGGCATTGCTGGAAACAAATTGGAAGCAAGTCTCTTAAACATTCCAACGTTCTCAGAATATTTCTCGCCTCGGCACTATCCATATCTTTGTAAAAAAATGCTAATTATTATTTTTGAGTGAGAGGGCAGTATGCCAACTCTTGTGTACAATTATAGGAAGCCCAATATACGATAGGTTTGATAAAGGATATATGAAGAGCGTGCATTATAGACTTATGTGTCCGTGATATGGTAACAGGTTTTGAAAAAAAAAGGCGGCTCATAAACCTGCAGCTGGTGATCAGTTAGAAATACTTTCTGTTTTTTGATAGGTATACAGATGTAGCTCCTAATTAGCCTTGACTGACTTACGCTTAAAACTTAAAAATAAAAATCATCTCGACAATCGCTCAAGATCAGGCAGGTGACTTCTAGATAATATCAGCTAAACGTTGGTGTGTATTTGAAGAGGAAACCGCAGGTTGATTCGAGCCTCCTGAATGAGATAGGGTAGACATAAATGTTCGGAAATTACGATGGTTGTGATCGACGAGCGTCTGAGGTTACTTACCGGTTTCAATCGGCTTTGATCACGTCGCATTATACACTCACTCCCAGAAGTTGCGTTCAGCATAGTTGATGTGTAAAACACATGTAAGCTATAATGTGTCCGAACAGTAGTCAATCAATGATGTAATGAATACGCATACACCTGGGTTCCCCGTCACCGTAATCTGATGGACTGGTGTCAGGCATAAATACAGACTGATGTGCAGGTACACGACGACGCCTGTTGGCTACGCCTATTGTCTTCGCCTATTGCCTACGCCTATTGCCTACCACTACGACGAGGACCAGTCCATTACGGTTGCCTGCTAGATTGTCCTACTCGGTTACAGTAGTCCAAAATCACTTTGCTACTTCGGACAAATATATCCTTTTCGGGACATATCAACCAACAAACCAAACTGATTATTATTATTATTATTATTATTTCCTTTCATTTCTGTTGTATACACATTTACTTCCGGGTCCCAAAGAGAGGTGAGAAATGGCTTCGAGAAATATTCCACTGATCATTTTTGTTTAAAAAACCCAAAACAAAACAAACCTAAGAAGACACATATTTTATATAGATAAAGCTCTTCGTTATGTGTGAACTGCATGTGTGAGTACAATTTATTTCTATTTCTTTAAGGCGTTGGCTACCAGAATTCCCTTCAACGAGTCTATCGGATCCATTTCCAATCAATCCGAGGGTTCCAACTAAAAATGGAATTATTGATATCCTGATGTACCTCATTTTTTTTAAAAGATTTCTATTTCAAGATCTTTGTATTTTGATAGTTTTTTTTTTTAAAGATTTTGAAAGATACTTTACAATCTGCAGGGACTTCCATATCAGTAAGTACGTATCGTCTGTTTTTGAAGTCTTTGATCAAGATGTCTGGGCTATTATGTTTGATTGTTCGATCTGTGTTTATTCTAAAGTCCCATAAAATTGTTAAATGTCTTATCACTCTAACCGGGACAGGATGACGTTCATAACAGTTTTAGCATTTTCCTTTCCGTAAAAGTTGCATATTTATTATTATTATTATTATTATTATTATTATTATTATTATTATTATTATTCTTATTAAAGTCTAACATATGTATAACCAGGGTTTGCCGCTACTAATTACATACTAGATGTGGGCAATTGTTTCCAGATTTTTGACCTTCCCTACTAATATAGTTAGCTGTAGAAGTAATGAAACGCAAATCACAATTGTATTTTTGTGTCAACCGTATTTGAACTCGATATAGGTAGTTAGGTAATTTCTTAACAAAGATTTTTTTTTATTATGGATCTTTCACACTTGCAGATTTCCCTGCAGATTTCAAACTTTGTTCTTCTTCGACTTCTTCTATGTTCCGTGTCCCTTCCCTCCCGTCCCTCGTCCTGATCTGTCTACTAATTTAAGTAATAAAAGGTAAAATGCGCCTAACATTGCTACATGGATGCATGAGTATTTAGTATCTCATCAGGGCTGAGAAACTACATATGCGCTGTTTATATTTAATGAGTGATCAGATGTTGACATTGCTTGAAATAGAGTGTCGACCATCTATCTATCTATCTATCTATCTATCTATCTATCTATCTATCTATCTATCTATCTATCTATCTCAGTCTCTTTCTATCTATCTATCTATCTATCTATCTATCTCAGTCTCTTTCTATCTATCTATCTATCTATCTATCTATCTATCTATCTATCTCAGTCTCTTTCTACCTGCCTATCTATCTATCTATCTATCTATCTATCTATCTATCTATCTATCTATCTCAGTCTCTTTCTACCTGCCTATCTATCTATCTATCTATCTATCTATCTATCTATCTATCTATCTATCTATCTCAGGCTCTTTCTGCCTGCCTGCCTTCCTTACTTCCTATCTATCTATCTATCTATCTATCTATCTATCTATCTATCTATCTATCTGTCTGATTATATCTGTTTATTCTCTATATCTATCTAGGTACATTGATATTAAATTTTACGCTAAGTATAATGAGAATACAATTAATCGTTATTTTGTAATCATGCGTGATTTTTGCGAGTTCAAAAATCGAAGTGTTCTAGGGAGAAACGTGCCTGCATGAAAGACTTTAATTTTCGTTTTGGTGTCAATGTTTTCTTCATTTTGAGCCGAAAAGTTTCCGCCATTATTTACCGCATTTTTAGTCAGGTGTAAACATGAAACGTTGTGAATAGAAATTTTCTTACCTCTGGCTATTTCAATTTGATCGACTGCCTTATTGATTGTAACAACACAATAAAAATAATAGCAATATTAATCGTACATGTGATAGATCAGAATCAGTGGTGGATCAATTGATTTAATCTAATGTTATTGAATTGAATTATTTATATTGAAGCGGGTTGTTTTAAACTTGACTTTCAAAAACCATATTTATTGGAAGTGGTTAACGAATATTATTGATTTTGGTATACTAATCTCAACCCGCTGAGTATCTGTCTATATCTACATTATTCGGACTTTTGTCCTCATCTTTGTTGCCATATTTATCACAAACATTCGGCCATTTTCGGCCATTGTAATGTGGTTGGAATGTCAAACTGAACCCTTTATTTCCCTCGTTTGGTTAGACTGTTCTAGTTCCACGTGCCATGTCTAATGGATGTCAGTTATCAGTTATCTCCTGTTAATTCCCCTCTCCGAGTTCTCCACCGCCTTAAACAGGTGTTGAACTCACACTCTTTCGATGCTGGATCTAACTAACGCCTTTATCCACTGTGCCATGTATCCTTAAGGACTACCTTATTGTAGAATGAGGTTGTAGAAACTGAAATTATGTGTATAAGGTGTATAGATAAAGATTTAACCTTGAACTAAAGGTGTTAATATCGTATTTTTTTTATAGAAGAATCCGCGCTTAAATCTCTTCTACAAAGTAGCAGTTTTTCGGAGAAAATGTTTAGGTAGATCTTTCACCGTAAAATTGGAATACGGGGAAAATTTGGGCGACGCGATATAGTGATAAAATAGTAATGGCCTGGTGACCTTCTGTGAAAAAAAAAAGAAAAAAAAGTTCTAGAGCAGAAAATAAATCATTTCATACAACAGCAGCTAAACTACTTTGATTTGAAAACTGGGTCCAGATAAGACAGTAATGTTGCATTTTCGGTGGAACCTGACACTTCAGAGATAAATCTTTCTACAAGAAATCAGTTTTATTCTGGAGCGGCAAAACGAATCGAACTGTTTTCCCGACATCTTCAGCAATGTCATATATGTCCCACTCTGTCTCCCAATTAAACTTGTGACCCAGTAGACGTTAAGTGCTCTGTGGAAAGTGCATTCGTTCAACTTGACTGGAGATGATGAAATAATAATAGCTATTGGTATTTTAGGCATTTTACAAAGACGAGCAAAACGTGATTTAAATCCTCATCGCTTTCTCAATATTTCAATTATTGCTACACATTTTGCATTGAATGAAAGCAAACCACTTTTCAGTCAGTTATTACGATTTATATTATCAAGATAATATTGCAGATCCATAAATTAGCGTTGAAATACGAGTGATCCACTGACCTACCACTCAACTATATATAGATAATTTTCCATAATTACCAGCCAGATAATACAAATTTGAAGTATATATTTGCTAAACGCAGACCAGATGATTTTTATCAACAAGCAACCAATCAACTATTGCTGTCTAATATATTTATATTCTTTTCTAAAATCTTTTAAATATAGTTTGAAACTTTAAAAGGTCGACAAGGAAATAAAAGAAAGAATGAATCAAATACAGCATTGAAACAGAAGCCTAATATTAAAAAAAAAACGGAAGGAAATGACCCTTGCCTCCATTAATAAAAATAAAATATATGTAGAATAATTTTTTCATTTTTTTGGTGAATTTCACCCCAAGCAAAGGGGGAGTGCCACTAGTACGCAAAGGGTTACAGAGGATTGAGAACAAGAGTAAAGATGAGTGTTTGAAGAAAAGGATAAAAAGTAGGACGGGGTTCGAGATCAAGGCATCTGAAGATGTTGATTGACATTAGATTTTAATATTTGAAGGTTATAGTTATCAGGGAAACAAGTAAGAGGAAGGAAGTTTCACTGTATGGAAGTGCGATAAAAGAAGCTGTTGGAGTAGAAGCGGCGGTTACATTTAACAGTGAAAGGGTGGGACCGAGATGCCAACTTAGTAGCATTCATGTAGTTGGAGTACGATTGAAAGTAACTGGTCAGTTTAATTGCCATAAAAATATTTGTAGAGAAAAGACAGAGGGAAGCCACAGAAGTCTATGAGAAAGTGACTGTAAACGAGATGCCAGATCAGGACCTATCATATTACATATCCGTTTCTGGATTTTGTCGAGGACCTCGATATGAAGAGAGGGGCACCAGACCATATATGGCAACAGTAATCAATGCAAAGACGAATGTTAAAATATATAGATTTTACACAGAATAAAACAAATGTTTTGGCCTCTCCCGAAAATAAATAAAGATTCTCTTTCTTAATTTTATCAAAAGTTTTTTGTTTGAAAACTTTCAGCCATGGGAAGAAAGCGTTTATACAGATTATGATTTGTCTGTTGCGTCTAGAAATTTTTATCTAAGTTTTTATTCTACGCGTAAGCCTAATTCGACAAGTTTGACTCACGCTAAGTCACAAGCCGACTAACGTCTGCTATAGTCATTGACCGCTATAATATTTAAGCAGATGGACTGTAAAGCTGTGATATTCGGAATCCTAGAATGGTTTGGCAATAAAAAGGAAACATACAAGTTGGATCTGTTACTTCTGCTGAGCGTGACCAATTAGTAACATAATGGGTTGATATCTGTGTACTTTTCTACTTTTGTTTCACCCACGCTGATACTTTTGAAGGAGCACTTTATAGCAGTTGGTTTTATTGATGGAGTTAATGACGTATAGGGATGGGTAAACAAAACAACTCATGCTATCATTCGTTATGTTTTAAGAAGAATGTAATTTGCAGAAAGGAAAAAAAAAGCACTTTTCATTTGACTTGGCAACCATATGTCTAACTTTGACATAAAAAACTGTGTTCACCTACTATCATTCCTTCGATACCATTCCTATAAGCTGCTACCACTTGACGGAACGGGCGGTCTTTGGACCAGAGATAAAAAAAAAAGTCCCTGATTGAAAACAGAGATAAAAAAAACAAACAATAGCAAAACAAAAAAAACAAAAAAAAACGTTTCGACCGTTATACGCCACAACCTTCTTCAGGTGCTTGGAATTTCGAACCGAACCCTTTGTTTCGTCCATTAGGGAAGACAGTTCTAGTTCCACGTGTCATGACTCTTCCGGATGTCTCAGTTATTTCCAACGTCTGGGCCAGCGAATGAAGACGTTGTTTAGATCCAGTGTCTAGACCCAAAGAGTTCATTGCCAGTCTACAGCTGTGGTGAACCAAAAATTGGAGAGTTGAATTAAAGGGAAGTAACTGAGACAGCCGGAAGAGGCGTGGCACATGGAACTAAAACAATATACGTCGGTGGAAAAAATAAAGGGTTCAGTTCGAAATTCCAATTACATGAAGAAGGCTGGAGCCTACAACAGTCGAAACGTTGTGAATATGACATTGAAGAAGAGATTAACAGTTCGAATAATTTAAATAATCCAAGTAATCAAAATAACTCATCTCAGAGATGAAAAATAATCGATGTTTTTTTCAGTTGTGATGGAAATGCTATTACTAAAGATAACACAAATGCTTCCGTCATTTCCGAAGAAATCTTCCTTAAAATCCTACAAATATCTCTGATTATGTTTTATGCAATATGATATTTACAAATACTCTTAAATTAGAAAATCGTTGTAGAAAAATATTTGTTACTTGTCTATATTTGTCAATGATTGCATCATAAAATTTCCTGAATTTAGGCTTCTGATGTTGAAGGTCAATGAATGAACATATATAATAAAAGAGATGCCATTGAAGTAGTTCACTTGATAATGGCGAAAATTTTCAAACGCTTTTCCTATTCTTTTCACCATCTGAAATGAGAAAATACTTATTGCCAATATAATTTGATTTAGGTTTTTGTTTTGTTTTACGGCATATCAACATCAATGGGTCATTTAATGCCGACAACTTTTTTTCTTGGTAATATTTTTACTTTGTCAAAAATCCATTTCTGTCAATATTTTTTCCACAAAAAAAGTATAGCTGGTAATATTATTTTTTTAAAAAACGTATAGCTAGTAATATTTTTTTTTCAAAAACGTATAGTAGGTAATATTATTTTTTCAAAAACGTATAGCTAGTAACATTATTTTTTCAAAAACATATTATCAGAGGCCTTGCTGTTGGGCGTAGTTTATCGTCATACCTAGCACGCGGATGTAGTCTGAGTGTTGACGATTTTTCCATAGCTGGAATCCTAACAGGTGCTACCACCCCGAGTTAGGGTGGACCTGGGAACACCAGGAATTAAGTTGTGGTTCCACGCTCCTCAAAACCTTCTGGTCAGAGGCCTTGCTGTTGAATGTAGTTTATCGTCTTACCCAGGACGCGGATGTAGTTTATCGTCATACCCAGGACGCGGACGTAGTTTATTGTCTTACCCAGGAGGCAATATAATTTGATATCTCTTAAGTACGAAGCCTCGTATATTTACGCATATGTTTATCTATTCCACTCATTGTATTAAATATACTAAACTTAGGTACCATGTTAAATCTTAGAGAAATAGGCAGAGGAAGATTTTCTTGCATCAGTCTTGGTAGGTGTAGGATGCGATTAACATCAGAAAATACGAGGGGTTGGAATCGAATTTAATATCCATCTGGAATCTTTCCATAATGGCAATGAATGAGAAACACTTGCCACGCACCAATTTATAGGCAAAACCACATACGTATATGCAGGGATTTCTTTTTAGATAAAAAGATAGGTCACTTTTTGGTCACATCTGATTCAGTCCCGGCCTATCATCTCTTGAAGTCAGAATGATACGTT